TTTAAACTCGAGGCCAATTTCTCCAATGTCCGAAGACCCCACTGACCTCGTAGCTCTTATCCCCGGGCACTTCTTAGTCGGTGGGCCACTCCTTTCCGTGACTGAGCCCGAGATTAAAGAAAACCCGAATTCCATTTTAAACAGAAGGCAGCGGCTAAAGGCCTTGCATCAGCAATTTTGCTTACGTTGGAAAGAAGAGTACCTAAAGGAGCTCCATAAAAGGATTAAATGGCAATTTCCAACGTGGTGGAAAAGAGGAGAATTTACCACCAAATAGCGGCTTGGGCGGATCCAACTGGTGTGCCCAGGCGCGGATGGCAAGACCCGAGTGGCAGATGTTCTTACCGCACGTGGCATTATCCGATGACCAATCGCGAAGATGATCCGCTTTCCGATGGAGGCCTCCAACTCCGAATGATTCTGCCTTTTCCTTTTTTCCTTGAGTTAGCGACTAACAGCCAATCGTAGTCCTAAACTCATGTCATCCTGTGTCCTCAGTCCTCATACAAGTCACGATCATTCGAATCATCCATAACCCCTAACCTTTGTTTACTCGCTTCCACAGATTGTCCACGATGGCGCCAACTACAATCCAGCATGCTCGGCCACGCATAACCAACGGGTACAGGTGCCGAGCTTGCCGAGGGGTGCACGCGCTAAGTAAATGCCAACGGTTCCTCCGGCTCCCGGCGGTGAAGCGGCTCCGCGCGGTCCTCATCAACCACTAATGTGCGAACTGCCTTGCTCACGAGCATTCGGGTCAATCCTGCCGCAGTAATGCCAAGTGCCACATCTGAAGTTGAAATCACCACACCCTCTTGCACTTCCAAGAATCCACATCGCCACGCTCGCCACGACCCCAAGACCGACGGCAGCAGACGAGAGATCTTATCGTTACCGAAGGGGATCTCCCCGACCCGAAGCCCTGCTACGGCCCATCGTGCGCCGCTATCCTGCAGCGCACGAGTGTGAACATCTTGCCAACTGCATCCATTTTGGTGAGGTCTGAGGAGAAACGGTCCAGTGAGTCTCATTCACGCATCCTTGACAAAGGCCCTCAACCTTTCCGTTACCCGCGTAGGCGATGAGCGGCAGTGCACCACCGAAATCCGCTCAAAGTCCTCGAAAATGACCCGACAGCTGCTAATGCTGGTTGATGACCAGATGCAGACCCGAACTCCGGCCAAGCCCCTGGATCCGAAGGTCCGGGATGCCTTCCCAGACATCACTTTGGCTGATAATAGTTGGTTCAACCCTTCCTTAGTGTCGGCTGTTTTGGGAGCTGATGTATACACGGAATTAATTCGGCCGGGTATCCGACCGAGTCAAAACGGACTGCCCATGGCGCAAAGCTCAGCCTTGGGGTGGCTCCTTTCAGGCACTTGCTCCCTTTCTTAATATGCCACTCTCCCCATTGCGAGGGGGGGAGAATGTTCGTGTCGAACAAAGATCGCGGGTTCGGCATCACTGGCAACCGAATCGGTTGCCGCTTTAGACTAAGCTTACGATATATGAATTCATTACGGAATAAAAGGTGAAACGAATCACAAGTGAAACGAAGCTCCACACAGCCCCGCATTTTTTAATTTCTTTGGGAAAACACTCTGGAGGTATTCTTGGCACGGACCCGCCCTAACACAGTCGATTCCGCGGTAAGAGCCGTTGCTGTAAGAGTGGTTAATTTTGCTGCCGTTGCTGTAGTTGTTGCTACGACAGTTGTTACGACTGCAGAAGTTTTACTGCCAACTGAAGTTTTACTGAGTAACAGTGAGTAGAGAGGGTGATAATGATCGTGCTCTCTAGGTAGAGTAGAGCCAGGTGGGTCTTTGTAGACGTTTTTTGCACTTCGCTTTCGCGCGTAGAGATATACGAGAAGTACCTGTCTCTTCGGCTCTTTGGTTCATGGGTCATTAAACTTTTAGCGTAGCACTAATATAAAATAATTTGCTCTTGACTTAATCATATCACTGATTTTTTTGTTTAAGCGTCTTTTCGCCTATTTTTTCACCAATTTAGTTTTATAGAATTTGTTTTTTATTTGTCTTTAATATATTCACTTTCTTCAAGTTTTCCCTGAGCTCGCGTCAAGAACGTCCGCTCTCTTCGGGGTTAGTTTTGTTGAATGAGTTGAAAATAAAAGTGAAATATTATATAAGTGCAAGCAAATTAGCCCACACTTGTGAATTTAACAGAGAGCGGTGAGCTTTGAGCGGTGTCTCGTGCCAGCTAATTTACCGTGTTGCACCTCCGAGCGGTTTTCTCTTCGCAACGCGGCCGCCAAACTGTCCACGAGGAGCGCTTAGAAGAGGTGCACTTTCATTCTCCCACTCTCTCTCTCTCTCGGGCCTTATGGGATTTCTCTGTGTGTTAATTCGTGTCGATTAAGTTGCGCTTCCGATTTTTTTTCTTTGCGCAATGCGAACGACTGACTGACTACGACAAAGTTTTCCCGGCAAGTTTTCCCCCTCTAACTACTCTACGTAAACGTGGATAACCAGGGCCCGGAACCTCAAAACAAATCCCGGCGGCCACTCCCAGTCCCCGTGCTTGTCTCCTGTATTTCTAAAAATTTAACTATAGACCGGAGTGGATCCTATCCCAGCCTAAGGAAAGGTCCTTACGCCTCCTTCCATGTCCCTTAAAATTGATGAGTTTATTGCGTTGACATCGTCATTTTTTTCCGACAATATTGCTCGCTCGATTAACCAATCATGATTTTGGTAATGTTCTCTTCATTGTACAATAGAACAGAAATCTATTGGCAGTGCTATCAATCCGGTCATATTATCAAATAGGACTCGGCTATTTCCGATATTCAACAATTGCTGTGAAAATAAATCAACTGATGGGTCGTTTAGCAATTGAGCAGAAACATTGGTATTCAATTTGAGTTTTTTAATATGGTGTATAGATAAATAGGAAATAATATAGGAAATAACCTGCTAAAAGAAATAAAAGAATTGCACCACCAATTATTTTCCCATATCCGCGGAGAACCTTTAAGGTGCGATGCAATGCTGCTAACGATTTCTTGTGAGCCATTATGCATAACATCCTTTTTGATATGTTACATGTAGGTGTTTCATTGGCCTGCAAATTTAATGGTGGAAGTTGCAAAGCAGACCACTTGAGAAACACTTTCAAATATCTCCCTTCCGCGTTTTTATTGGTTTTTGAATTTGACGGCTTTGTGCAAAGCGCTACATATCGGTATCGGGCAATGCTATATATAATGATTGAAAGGTCTTGACATAACCTACAAAACGACGCTATTCATAACAATTTTGGTTATTGCGTTGAAAAATTATACATGTGAAACAAGTTGTTCGCTAACGCCGAAATTCGCGCTGTTAATCCGCTAGAGAAACATTCCGCGAGATTAATGGTGTTTTAGGGGATGGTACTCTATCACTTCGAACCGCGGAGGAATGGTTTTGGGCTGCTCCCATATGGCCAGACGCTTGATTCTACCATATACTGCGAACAACTGGACTTGGCTTGAGGCTGGCGATCGACCAGAAGCGACCAGAATTGGCCAACAGGAAAGGTGTACTGTTTCACCAGGACAACGCCAGACCACACACTTCTTTGATGACTCGTCAGAAGCTACGGGAGCTCGGATGGGGGAGCAAATAACCTGGGAAGTTTCTACGAGGGGTATTATAAAGCCGTCTAATTGGGAACACATTTCCGAACAAAACCGCGCATATTTTAGCTAAATCCGTTCACTGTATCAATTTTTATAAAGCATTGAATAAAGAGCAAAAAAGCGGAATGGAGTTAGTTGACAACCTAATATACATACCAAAAAATGTACAATTTATAGTTTTAATGAATAGGAGGGCACTTACTAAATACCACTTCATAACCACCATCATCTTAATATCTTAATTCAAACAAGAAAGGAAAGCTAACTTCAGGCGGAGCTAACTTCAAAAACACCAAGGTTATGGCATTTCCAATTGTTCAGTTATATGACAGTTATAGGATATAGTCGGCCGATCCTTATGAAATTTGGTAGGTCGGATTAATTGGTCAAAAATAAAACCCATAGAAAATCCCAACTTTACAAACACCAAAGTTATGGCATTTCCGATTGATCAGTTATATGGCGGCTATAGGATATAGTCGGCCGATCCTTATGAAAATTGGTAGATCGAATTGATTGGTCAAATATAAGACCCATAAATACCAACTTCTAAACTTTAAAAACACCAAAGTTATAGCATTTCCGATCGTTCAGTTATATGGCAGCTATAGAATATAGTCGACCGATCACGGCCGTTCCGACTTAAATACTGCGTGCAAAGGAACGAAGGGTGTGTGCAAAGTTTTAATTCGATATCTTTAAAACTGAGAGACTAGTTCGCGTAGAAACTGGCAGACGGACACAGACGCACATGCTTTACAATATAATTCTAATTTAATTAAAACCGTAATTCCATAATATTTAAATATATCCAAATCCCAAAGAATAAAAAAAAATTAAAAACAATAAAGTTATAAAATTTTTTGTTAAATTTTTTGTTTGATTTTTCCAATGGGAGCTATATGATATAGCCGCCCGATCTGGCTCTTTTTGGGAAGTTTCAAGCAGATAGCTTTAAAACTGAGGGACTAGTTATAATTATAATTATAATTAAATTTTATAATTATAATACCCTCTGCAAGGGTATAACAAAACGGAAATTAGGTCTGTTCAGCCTGGAGCCGAAGAGTATCTTCAAAGCAATTTTTTGCAACGTTTTTCAAAGTATTTAACTCCTAATATTTTTGTTTTCAAACATGCTGGGGTTAGATTCACCCGGAGAAAACTTAATTCGATAAACCTTTTTATTAATCTTTACTTAAAAAAGAGCGCAAGAGCTAAATGTAATTCTATAAGGGATTTCCATGGCCATTCATTTTATAAATTGGGCTTTGATAAAAACTGGGACCAAAATCATTTCGATTACAAATAAAGAATATTAATTATCGATACAAGCTGATAAATTACTTACCTTAACAACGCTGTAAACTGCTTGTGAATATAACATGCTAATTTCGACAGGATCTTGTGATAGTTCTTGAGTCGATTTAAAAAGTCTCTTTTTAAAAACAAAACGATTTTCTCCTGATTGAGAGCTATTTGCAAGCTTTTTCATCGTAGTTCCGAAAGCTTGTTTTAGTTCCCATGCCGATATTATATCATACAAGTAATCAAAACTTTTTATGTGCTCTTCACCGTCTGGTCGAGATTGATAGATGGCCCAACCGTCAGTTGAAGTTAAGTTTAGTTTTTCTGCGAGCTTCTGCACAGCGTCACCTGCAGTGTCAGTTGGATGAACATCAATAGCTTTTGTGCGTGCATCCAAGAAAAAAAACCTGCATACTATTGTTCCAAGACGTCGCATAGCCTAAAAAATTAATTTAATTAGGTCGTTATAGTATTGCAATGGTTTATTCAAAGTCAATCATGGCAGCTCATTTAATCCACCTTGAAAAAAAAGGATCGGTAGAGAAGGAAAAAAAAAAACAACTACTATTATTTTTATATTTTTCTGGTACGACTAAAAATTACCAAAGGAAATGCTTGCCACTTTGTAGATAATAATCAACATTTTTGGAATTCGATGCGATTAGTCCGTAAATAATTATATAACTTTTGTATAAAAATTTCAATAATTTCAAACAATTTTGCAATAATAAAAAGTCTGAAACAAAAAAGTAGAAAACAGAAAGATGTAACAATTTTGTGGAAAATTGCGAACTTATTCATTTATTTGGGTCCCCTATCCTCTCGTTTTCCAACAGATTCCTTATTTATACACGGGCTTTTTAAAAGAAGAACATTATTCAAAGGATAAATTACATAAAATCATCTTTTGATTTATAAAGTGAGTGTTATTATAATTACCTTGACCGTTGTAAGGTCCAGATCTCAGTACTCATCTAATTCTTATCATTCCTCGCTGTCGTTTAAAAACATGACGACCACCACAGATCAGGTAATAGCCGATTAACTTGCCCATTTTTTTTGGAAACGACTTATTCTATTTTAGATTATTTTAAACAGCCTTATTCCTACACCATGTCCAAGTCGAACCTCATATTCTGTGCCTTTTTATCCCAAATTTGTAAAGGAAGTACTCAAGAGAGGTAACAAGTTAGAGGATAGTAATTAAAGAGGTGTTTGTAGTTTTATTTTTATTATTTTATAAACCAACACTTAAATTGGTTTAACTCGGAGGGATCATGCGTATGAGGGCCAAAGACACAGCGATGCTCACTCGTAGAACGCAGAGTAGTTGAATACACAAGTATTGCTTGTATTATTAGGGCAAAAGGTCTGGTGTATATACGTTTTCAGAGTCAAGGGGGCCACAATAGCAAAGAAGTGGTATGGGGCTGTTAGTTAAAAATACATTGCATTGCTTATGTTCTAAGATATACAAAGGTACAGAGTCATCATAATTGTCTCCCACACAAGGAGTTAATACGCTAGGGTTAGTAAAAATAGAAAAGGTAGCTCAGGCAGAGCTGGCGCTGTCCGTGAACATCAAGTGGCTTAGCGACTCAAGGGGTACGCTAACAAGAGGTATATCTTAGTTGACATCAGCAAATGTTGATGTTGTTGTAGGACTGGTGGTCGGAAGCTCTGCTGTGTAAATTAGATATAGTGTTGGTCCAAGCACGCTACGTTGAGGTACTCCAGCTTCAATTGGATGGTATTCGGACAGGAAATCTTTACATCGCACTGCGAAACTTCTATGCTCAAGATATGACTCCAGTATTTTATGGGTGTCCTGTGGAAGCAAGGTTTTAATTTTATAAATTAAGCCGTCCAGCCAAACGCGGTCGAAGATGTTTGTTGGGAGCACAAAGCTATTTATTGGTGTGAGTGGTTTGAAAACGTTTTCTAGATGTGCGGAGAGTACAATTGCCCTCTCTTCATTGCTGCGAGCCCATTCTCCTGTTTGTGTGTGTAATGGCGACTCACTTTCGATCAGGTATATGATTTAGCTTTCCACAGTGGATATTGTTCATCTTCGAAAATGGAACAGCGTGGAGGGCAGTACACAGCGGATAAATTTAAGAAACCGATGTGTATTGATGTAGCTTATTACAGGCTGTTGCAAATGATGGCAACTCAGTATGCCAGTACCGCCATGAGCCTTGCCATCAGGATGGTTTGTTTCATAAAATTAATGCCATTAAGGTGAAAATAATTTTTGTTTGTTAGGTGAGTCTCTGATATGAGCATGGCGTCAATGTCATGCTGATCTAGGAACTGCGAGAGCTCGTATTTGTGCTGTGAAATGCCGTTCGCATTCCAGAAACATGTTTTTAAGGAAACCATCTAAGCAGATTTCTGTTTGATTAAAAACTCCAAAAGGAGATTTTGAGAGGGCATAAGTTCCTGCAGCGTTTGCTGTATTGCTACCATTGTGTTGGCTATAGTTACCAGCATTGCTTCTACGCCGCTAGGCAATTGTGTGTTTGGAGTTGTATGTTGGCCAGTAGTTTCTGGATTCTCGTTCAATATTGGTTGTCGCACTGTATCAGCAGTGGTTTGCTGACCTGTCAGCTGGGTGAACTTCATTGTTTTTCAAGTGCATACTTTCCGGCTCCAACTTTACCTTGAACATTGGCTGTCGGAAAGCCCTTTTCTTTAAGTCCAGCTATATCTCATAGATAGGGACTGTTGCTTCAATACCTTTGATAACTACTTGTAATCTTTGCAACTTTTTAGTTGGTAGGTGTAGTAGTTTATTTTGTTTGGCCACTGATCGGTAGTCTTGTAACCCCTTTTTATGGACTTTGCATAAAACTTGTTTGCTCCAATTTGCTCAGTTATTTTTCTAACCAATTCAGCAAAGTTTGCCTGACGTACAAAAATTGGTGGTGGCCTTGCTTGGTTGCTTGGCCCTAGGTGTTTGAGCGGTATTGTCATCATCCTTTGGATCACCAAGAATAGAAAATTGATTACTTGTCATCTCATTGTTTGACACAGTGTTTCCAATTTTATTGCCAATTTTTGATGCATTTATTTTTTTAGCTGCGTATTAGTATTCTTTTTATTTGCAAATATCGATCGATTCCTGTTGGTATTAATGACCAGTTAACATTGTTTGTATTTCTGGGTTGGGTAGGGGCTAGCTTGTCAGTAAGAGCTGACGAAACAGAAACTGCAGTTGATGTGGTGGTTGTGGTGGTTGTTGACGTCGGTAGTGTCGAAGTCACCGTTTTAAGCGAGGGCATTGTGCTGGTCGTTGTTGTAATGAGCAGATCGTTGGTTATGTTGTAGGGATCGGGGGACGGGCATTGGGCACTCCACGGCTGCTTTTGTGATGTGCCGCTTGGACATAATAAGCCGGGAGAGAGCGGGCGTCCTTAATTTAATTGGATATCTTCAGCGACAGTTCTCACACTCTTATTTATTTCAAGCTTCTGCAGATATTAATTTCAAGCTTCTGCAAAACATAAACTAAGAGCAGTCCATAATCAATTTCTTTGCAACACGTCTTCTGCACCTTATAAACATTCTCAGCCTACTTAAAGTAAACATTAACAGCCCGGGACTAATGGTGACAAGCTGGTATCTCAACGCCTTCTCCGATGAGTTGTGCTTGCTCCACCGTCGCTCTCCGCTGCCTCGCTTTGTGCTGGTCCGGAATGCCTCCGTAGTCTTTGGCCTCGGGGCTATAAGGGTTATAGGGATGCGTTGCCGTTCCCAGACTAGGGTTGACAGGCACTGGGCTCTCAAAGCTTACGCCTTTCGCAGCCACAGCCTCCTGTCCCTGGATCTGTCCCGGCCGGTCACTCCAGACGCCTACACAGTTTCTACCTGACGGTTCAGACATACGCAGGAAAGCCGCTAATGCAGTCCCTGTGGCAGGACGCTAGGTTCAAGACGAACGCTACCGCCCTCGCCTCTTAGCGTAGACTGGATACGTCGGAGTATGGCTTGGTTGCCGCTGGGCCTGCGATGACTGCTCGTCTAGGGCTCTGGCGATAAACTACTGTGCTCTCAACGCATACGCCTCTCGAGACACCCGTGGTTCGGACGCGCGTCCTTCTTGGCTAGTCGCACCAGGGCCTAGCGTACGCCGGAATTCGACAAGGCAATTGTTTTCTAACGGCGACTGGTTCTGGACAACTTCCCTTCCGAGCCCACGGTTCTTTGTCGAAGGACTCTTTTTATTCAATTCTGCCGGACTCGCCGAGCAATACGCCAAGTTAAAATCGCGACCAGAATTGGAACAAAGAGCCTGGACTTAGCCGCGTGATGCGTTAAGGACCTCAGCTACCTGTTTCTCAGCTTGCAGACTTCGACTCTAAGTCCCGAACGTCTCGATGTAGCGATCTTGCTCCTTGTTGACTCGCCGCGGCTCTGCTTCCTCCTGATCTTAACTTGGCTTGTGTTGTTCACTGTTTTGCTGCTTGTCTACTGATCTCGATGGATTGACTCCTTGTGATCGAGTGTTCCCTCTTCCTGCGCTCGGCCTGCTTATATAGGCCGGCATATCCCGTTAATTCTCGGCTTCTCCTTTTTCGTTTTTGCGCACGGCACTATACTAGGGTCCAAAGTCCGCCGCCTTCTACCGTTACTCCTTCTCTCCAAACTCTCCAGCTGTATTCTACAAACTCTCTTCTCGTTCTCTCCAAACTCTTTTCAGCTGTATTCTCCAAACTCTCTTTTATTTGTGAGGAGTTATTTAACTCCTCACATTCTCCCCTTTCTTCGGGAACAAAATGAGACTTGCACCTCTTCTCCGGCTGTTATCTCGGAGTTGTCTCTAGATCCTTTGTTCCGGATCGCTGATGTTGGCAGTTCCCGCCCCAAGATGTTTCCCCCATAGACTTCATTTTCTTCTCTCCGGCTGTCTTCCTTGTAAATCCTTGTAGCCTGTGACGCTGCGCGCACAAAAACAAGACATGAATAAATAAAAAGACTAAAAATTAAACGAAAGAAGCATTTCATTTAAAATTCAAACTAAGAACGCGCGCGCCAACGATTGCGCGCGTAGGGGCACACTAGACCGAGAGATATGGCCACACTTAGACCGGCAAATCCCACACAGGCGGCGGGCACATTAGATCTCGCCGAGCCCTATATAAGGCGAAACACGGGCCATAGAAGGCCACTTAGCAGCCAATCGTCTAAGGGTACAGAGGCAACACCCCAGTGGTGGTAAGCAGCGAAGTCATTTTTTGGTGGACTAGATCATTCGATCTAAGTCCGCTTATACATTGTAGTTAGCTCCCGTAGTACTTCCTACTCCCCCTAACCTTCTCGGCTTGCCGGTCCGAAGGTATCACTAGGAGACGTCTGATTTCAGGATCGCACCTCCTTACGGCACGGTTCACCGGCCGAATTCTTTCTCTCTTGTGACTGACTTCAGGGTCCCCAGGC